GCTGGACCATAGGATATACGTTTATTCAATTTTAATAGAAATACCCAACTCTTTTCTAAAAATTTCCACACACATTTACATTCCCAAGATTCGTGAATGGGAATTCCTGCTACTCCATAGTCTTGTTGCACTAGATAATGTGCATTCAAATTTTAGCCCCTGGTGAATTCAGTGCCATGAATTCATTTCCCTGATAAATAGTGAACTCAGAATTTTGCATGTAGTTAGTGGTCCTTGGGGATCTTTTTGGATATGCTGTTAGCCTTTTGCCCATATTTCCTAACAGATTGTCTGTCTTTGTTTATTGATTTGTAGTAGCTCTTTATATGTTCTACATACAAACCCTTTGTCAGTTATGTGCATTGGAAATTTCCTCAGCCTTCTCCCTTGGTTACTGGCTCTCTTCATAAGTACTTTTCTTAAGAGATTTTAATTGGTATTTCAATGTGGTTAGAAGTTCAAATCTTTTCCTTTGGGGTGTGTGCCCCTTGTTTCTTCACCTTGAAACATGAAGATAGTTTCCAATATTGTCTTTTAAAGCTTATTGTATTTCCTTTCACATTTAGGCTATGGTCTGGCAATGTGCGTTCTTGGTTTTTTGGTTTTTTTTTTTTTTGCCTTTTTAAAAATCAGTTTTATTGAGGTATAATTTAATTATAATAAGATGAATTAATTTTAAGTGTCCAGTACAATGAATATTAAAAAATGTGTACAGTTTTGTGATCATAACCATAATCATGACATAAAACATCTCCCTCATTCAAAAACTTTCTTTGTGCCCTTTTGCAGTCGGTCTCCTCTCTGGCAGTGGCTTTTAGAGTGTGTCTCTGTGTGTGCGCGCATCTGTGGGGGGTGTGCGTGTCTGTGTGTGTCTGTGTCTTGTGTAGGTGACTGTGTCTGTGAGCGTGTGCCTCTGTGTGTATCAGGGTGTGTATGTCGCTGTGTGAGGTCAAGCTGTTCCTTGCAGCATGGACACTCAGTTCCCAGAACTGAGGACTCCCCTCTGCTCTGCTGGGCCACTGTTGCTCCACGTGCACTCTCCTTACTCCCACGGACCTCTTTCCACCTCTCATTCTGTTCCACTTCTCCATGTGCCTGTCCCTTCTCAGGAGCACCCTATCTTAATTAGAGCAGCTCCGTCATTAGTACAAATCTAGTAAAACCAGTTTTGCCACCTCCTCCTCCAGCCTGGGTCTTGGCCATTCTTGGCCTTTGGAATTTCTAAATAGATTTTCCAATCAGCTTGTCAAGTTTCACTGACAGGACAGGGATTCTTATGGTACTGGGTTCAAACTGAAGATTAACTTGTAGAGAATTAATGTATTTTAAGTCTTCTGCAAATGCTTGAAAATGGCATTTCCATTTTTTAGGTATTCTTTAATTGATTTCAAATAGTGTTTTTTTTTTTTTTTTTTGGAAAGAAGTGCTACACATATTTCCTTAGATCTGTAACTGAGCACTGGATGTGGTAGGCTACTCCAACGGGTGCATTTCTTCAAAATTTACATTTGTTGTGGGTTGCTAATAAAATTTAAATTCATTATTTTTCTTTCTTTTTTTTTTTTTTTTTTGGATATTGAACTTGCTACTCTGGTTCACTTAATTCCTTCTGAGCAGCATATCATCATAGTATCTGTCCATAGCAACAATTTTATTTCTTCCTCCCCAACCCTTATACCTTTGGTATTGTGTGTGTGTGTGTGTGTGTGCCTTTTCTTAACTTCCTCCCCTGCCTAGGTCCTCAAAAATGCTGTCAAATGGCACAGTGATCTTATTTATCCTGATCTTATTGCCAGTGTCTAAAGGAAAGATTTTAATATCCGACTCTGAAGAGTACCGTTAAAGTTCCCTTGAGTTCCTAAACTTGTTAATAAGTCTTATCATAAATCAATGTTGAATTTCTTCAAGTGTTTTCTTGGCATATATTAAAATGGTGTGATTTTTTTCTTTTATCACTAACAACATTGAGAAATTTTCAATACTTAATGAATTCTTGTGTTTTTTTAAGTAAACTGAAATTGGTTTTGTTGGGTATAGTCATACATGATTTAGAATATTTGCCTCTATGTTGATCAAGGAGATTTGGCTATCATTCTTTGTACATTTTTATACTGATCTTGTTAGACACAGTTTTTATGACAATGTTGACTTCAAAACATGAATTGCAAGCATTCTCTCTTTTTCTGATCTGGTGAACAGTCTGTCATTTGGACAATCCTGTTGCTTCAAAGAATTTGCTGATTTTGGAGGGAGATGGGTTACTGAAGATTGAACCCAGGGGTGCTTTACCCCTGAGCTACATTCCCAGCCCTTATTATTTATTTTTAATTTTGAGACAGTTTCATTAAGTGGCTTAAGGCCTCACTAAGGGTTAAGCAGCTTAAGCAGAGGCTGGCCTCTAACTTGCAATCCGCCTACCTCACCCTGCCAAGTCTCTTGGGATTATAGGTGTGCACCACTCTACCCAGAAAATGTGCTGATAGCTATGACTTGAATATGAGGTGTCGCCCATCCTGTGTTAATGCAGTTATGTTCAGAGGTGAAATGATTGGATTGTGAGAGCTACAACCTAATCAGTCCATCCAGGTTTGAATGGCCCAGGTGGGGCCTGGCTGGAGGAGGCAGGTTATTGGGGGGGGTGGGCATGCCCTGGAAGGGTGTGTCTTCCGTGGGGCTCCTCCCCTCTTCCTGCTTCCCAGCTGCTACTGATGGAGCAGACCTCCTCCACCACACCTTCCACCGTGATGGACTAAACTTCTGGAACTGTGAGCCAAACAAGCCCTTTCCTTTTAAGTAGTTCTTATTCACTATCATGGACACAGTGACAAAAATGTGACTAACACACAGATGAAGATAACATGACTAGGATTTTATTCATGGACTCAACATCTTTAAAATCATGAGACTATCTTGTGTTTATTTAGTAAATTGTATTTTTCTAAGTGTTGTCTTATTTCAAATAAGTTTCCAAGTTTATGGCTATAAATTCATAATAGTCTTTTTTAAGTGTATGTAGTATGGGATGCCCCTACTTCCATTGTTGTCTTACCCCGAATATTGACCTAGGAAGTCCTTAGTTCTCTTACACTAGCAGGAGCATGTGCCGTGGCCTGTGTACATGCATCCTGGGTGCCTCAACTGTCCTTCGGCTCTTATTGGAAGCCAAAGGCCTTCAGAAGCACTTCAATGCTCCAAACCCCTGGTCCCAGTCAAGCATGGTATTTTCTCTAGGAAAGCATGGCATCTGCCGGGGATACCACTTGTGACAGTAAGATCTGGCACAGGGAGTGTCAAGAGTAGAGCTCGTCAGTCCAGGTGCAGGATGAGAAGTGCCTGAATGTTCATGAATGTTCTAGGAGAACCTGCATGTTCTAGAAGAAACTCCTCCAAGTGCGGCCTCTAAACCAGCAGCTTCAGGATCACCTGGCAGCTTGCTGGAAATGCAAGTTCTCAGTCCCAATCCAGAGCCTTGGATTCAGAAACGGGACAGAGGGCAGGGGATGTTATGCTTAACAAACCTTCCAGGAGATTTGCATCCACAATAAAACTAGGAATCCAGTGACCCAGCTGTTCTCAATTCTGGTCCGCACATTAGATTCAACTGAGTTTTATGTTGATGCAAATATATGCAGCCCATCCCAGAACACATTTTTAAGAGGCTCTCGGCTGATTCTGATGACTCCCAGTCTCCCAGGGGCTGCCATGCTACACAGCACAGCTCCCGGGGAACAGAACAGAGGAACAAAGCCACTTCGCTCCTAGTGGCCACACCCCAGCTGCTCTGTTCTCATTCCAGGCCTTGAATTTAGGAAGTCCCTGATGCTGATGAGCACAGGCAGATGAGAATGCCCTGGAGGGCCTGACGCTGGGCAATGGTGAAGGGCTGAAGATGGGCGGCCTTCAGAAGCCATGGTTCGACTTGGCTGCAAAGGCAGGAGAACAGCCCTGGAGAGCAGGTCCTGGAGGGCAGTTTCCCTCAGGTTGAAACCCGCTTCCCAGAGGGGGCCACGGGCCTCTGGAGCACACTGTCTCCTAGGGTGCCAGGGCCTGGGGCACGGGTCTGCTGGGCTGCCCTCACAGAGCCCACACACTAGGCCCTTCAGCAACTGAAAGGCGTCAGCTGGCACTTCTGGGGGCGGGTGGTCTAGACCCAGGTGGCAGCAGGTGGGGCTCAGAGATGGCACCTCCACCTGTCCTCACCTGCTTTCCTCTGTGTGTGTCTCTGCCGGACCTCTCTGATGGCCATGCCTCTCATACAGGATCCTGGCCCATCCTATGGACCTCGTTTAATCTTGATCACCTTTGGGGAGTCCCTAAGTCCATATCCAGTCACTTTCTGAGCTTTCAGAAGTCAGGCAACAACATGAGAATTTTGAGGTGACAAGAGTTGTCCTGTATCACCCACTAAAGGAGGCTGACCAAACACTGGCCCAAGGTAGTGTCGGAGGGTAGCCCTGAGTGACGTCCTTCTCTATTGGAAACACAGGGGTCTAGGTCAGGGTTCCTTCTAGTTAGGAGATTCCAAGATACCAGCTGTAGGGCACAATAAACTCCATCTGGGGAAACCTGTTAAATCTTTACAGAGCACACATCAACTCAGTCTGACAGTAAAGGATGCTCATTTTCCACAGAAATGGTCTTTGAAAAGTGGAGAATGGGGACTTAAGTCAAAGTAATCAGTGTAACTGAAGTCAGAGGGATGTTTTCATAAGGTGACAATGACGTTAGCATTGACAGTAGAGGATTGAGTTTGTGGTCAGTGAAGTGGACCATAGCACTCAATTTGAGGAATAACTTGCATTCCCTATGCCCCTCTGCTAGGTTCATCTTTGATGGGTTACTCCTCACCTGTCTAGTTTCACGAATAGTCCCAAAGATCCATTATGTGCAATCTTCAATCATGTGCTTTTGCAGAGTGACCTGTCCTGCCTTCATCAAATGTTCTATAGTCATTTTGGTCACGAGCCAAGAGTCTAAGTGTGTCTGTTCCCTCTTTTCAGGTGCTGGTCTCCTCACAGGTCTCGGCCACAGATCAGATCACTACATGTGCGTCAGGAATGGAGGATTCTGTCTCTATTCGTCCTGCCCCGTGGATACCAAAATTACTGGCACCTGTTACCACGGACGCGCAAAATGCTGTAGCTGAACTGAGAGTGACTTGGAGAAAGATCATAGAAGCCAAAAGGAATTATTTCTGATCATTGTTTCAATAAAGAAATTTTTTTTCCTTGACCACATCTTCATCAGACCAAAATAAATCTTATTGCTCAATGGAAGAATTTAAGAAAATGTGGGGTTAGGCTGACAGCCTGGGAACGAGAGACATGCCAGTCCAGAAAGAACACCTCTTCAGAGGAATAAAGTCCAGGGCTAGACAATGTCACTTTCCGCTGACCATAGTGCCATACAGTAAGGGATGCAGAGGGCCCAGGAGAGGTCAGCAGTACACGTGGCGAGGAGAGGCAGCTCCAGGCCTCCTGGGGCCAGGAGAGGCTGACCTCGAATTCCATGTTCTGGTCAACAGTGGAGTAAGAGGCCCATCTCCAGAGCCCAGGCTGCAGCCTCTGCTCCCCACACTGCTGGCAGCGGGGTGATGAACCCCAGCAGTGCAGCCCTCCTTTGTGACCACGAAAACAGTCCCAGAGTTTCATCCTCAGGCCTCATATCTGTGTCCTAAGGACTCACACATCTGCATTTCAGGCCAGCCTTGCCCCTAGGCCTTTAGACACCAACAGGGAAGGAGAGCAGTTCCCCTTCCTTTCTCCACAAACTTCTTAATGCTCTGAATGATTCACATTATGCTGTCATCTCCTTAATCTATCACAAATTCTTCACCTTCCACTTGATCAATTTCAGGAACAATGAAAATCACCCCTGATAAAATTATTTGCTTCCCCCTTCCCAGCAATAATCTTCTGTGCATCACCCCTCTTCCACAAGGGAGCCTCACAGAGCAACATGCTGGCTTCTGGGGATGACAAGGACTGGGCTTGGGAGTTCTCGGTGACAAACATAAGATGTGTTAATGACACACTCAACTTGAAGCCCAGAAACAATCCAGAAACATTGTACTTTCACCTCAGATCTCACGTGGCAGAAGTAGGCACCACAACAATTAGGCCACTTCCCCTGGGACTTGTGGTGGCCTTCAGTGCCTGATCAGGCCTACCACATCCACACTGCTGCCATTGCAGGTGGACAGCCCTTGGCAGTCCAACCTCATGGCCCAGTGGGTCAGGTAACAGCCAGTTCATGAGGGACAGTTAAGGACACATGGGAACATGGTGGGCCATGGTCCAGGGAGAAAGATGAGCAGTGTAATTTTCAGTAGTGTCCTGGGGTCCTTCCTCAGGCAGATCTGACCTCCCCTTCACTCTAAAGCATTCTCGATCTCAAATGTGGCTTAAGTCAGGTAATTGATGGAAGGACCTCAGCCTTCTGTCTAATTGATTCAACTTGGACTTTTCATATGACTTAGAAATTTTCTACTTATTCAAGTGTCAACATAAACAAAATGAGACAGAGAGAGAGAGAGAGAGAGTCCCCCAAAAACACTATAATGGCAAGGTGCATGCCAGAGCACACTGTGGGCATATTCAAGGTGGTGGAGGCCAGGGAATGTTTATTAAGACAAATGTAAGAGGATTACACCAGATATTGGAAGCAATAACGCTTGTTAACAATGATTTATAACAAGTGTGGCATCCATCCAAGGCTGAGCAGACAGCACCTGGGCAGATGTCCTGGTAGAAATGCCTTTTGTGTCAGGTTGTGGTGGTCTCTGCACCTCTTCTGGTTTTAGCAAAGACTTTCTTTAACAGATGCAACCTAGAAAAGCTTTAGAAAGTTGTCAGCAAAGCTGAATGGGCAATTCTAGTCGGAGCTCAAAGGACTAGAATGTCAGTAGGACAATGGACAGTAAAGACTGGGATCATAAGGTTTTAGAAGATAAGGAGGACTCTATTGGAAATTGGACCAGAGGCCATTCATGCTATATTCTGGGGGGAAAAAATCTACATTTTTCTCATATCCTGACACTTTCTGTGAGACAAAATTTAAAGGCAATGGACTAACGAATCTGCCAGAGGAAATTTTGAATCAGCACAGCATTTAGGCAGTGGCATGTACGTAGTTAGTTGCTTTTAATCAACTGTATTATGATAATCAGGAACAGAAAGCAGAGCAGAAAGATTTTTTAAAACTTGCAGTTTGGCCATAAAAATGAAAGTAAAACTGGGGCTAAGGAAGTTGTGATTGCTAAAAGACTTACAGCCACTAAGAAAATGCTAAATACTTTACCTAGGAACAACAGGAAAAAGTGGCTTGAGGATATCTCAGGAATTGGCAAGACCACAGCCATGCTTGCATGCCAGGGAGAGAAAGCTGAGCACTAGGAAGTTCATTCCTTAAAAAAAGAAAAAACCAACAAATAAATGATCTCATACTTCATCTCAAAATCCTAGAAAAAGAAGAGCAAAACAACAGCAAAAGAAGTAGAAGGCAAGAAATAATTAAAATCAGAGCTGAAATTAATGAAATCGAAACAAAAGAAACAATTGAAAAAAATTGACAAAACTAAAAGTTGGTTCTTTGAAAAAATGAATAAAATCAACAGACCCTTAGCCATGCTAACGAAGAGAGAGAACTCAAATTACTAGCATACGGGATGAAAAAGGAAATATCACAACAGACAATTCAGAAATACAGAAGATAATCAGAAATTATTTTGAATCCTTATACTCCAATAAAATAGAAGATAGTGAAGGCATCGATAAATTTCTTAAGTCATATGATCTGCCCAGATTGAGTCAGAAGGATATAGACAACCTAAACAGACCAATATCAATTGAGGAAATAGAAGAAACCATCAAAAGACTACCAACTAAGAAAAGCCCAGGACCGGATGGGTATACAGCAGAGTTTTACAAAACCTTTAAAGAGGAACTAATACCAATACTTTTCAAGCTATTTCAGGAAATAGAAAAAGAGGGAGAACTTCCAAATTCATTCTACGAGGCCAACATCACCCTGATTCCTAAACCAGACAAAGACACTTCAAAGAAAGAAAACTACAGACCAATATCTCTAATGAACCTAGATGCAAAAATCCTCAATACAATTCTGGCGAATCGAATACAAAAACATATCCAAAAAATTGTGCACCATGATCAAGTAGGATTCATCCCTGGGATGCAAGGCTGGTTCAATATACGGAAATCAACAAATGTTATTCACCACATCAATAGACTTAAAAATAAGAACCATATGATCATCTCGATAGATGCAGAAAAAGCATTTGACAAAGTAGAGCATCCCTTTATGTTCAAAACTCTAGAAAAACCAGGTATAACAGGAACATACCTCAATATTGTAAAAGCAATCTATGCTAAGCCTCAGGCTAGCATCATTCTGAATGGAGAAAAATTGAAGGCATTCCCTCTAAAATCTGGAACAAGACAGGGATGCCCTCTCTCACCACTTCTGTTCAACATAGTTCTCGAAACACTGGCCAGAGCAATTAGACAGACAAAAGAAATTAAAGGCATAAAAATAGGAAAAGAAGAACTTAAATTATCACTATTTTCAGATGACATGATTCTATACCTAGCAGACCCAAAAGGGTCTACAAAGAAACTATTAGAGCTAATAAATGAATTCAGCAAAGTGGCAGGATATAAAATTGACACGCATAAATCAAAGGCATTCCTGTATATCAGCGACAAATCCTCTGAAATGGAAATGAGGACAACCACCCCATTCACAATATCCTCAAAAAAAAAAATAAAATACTTGGGAATCAACCTAACGAAAGAGGTGAAAGACTTATACAATGAAAACTACAGAACCCTAAAGAGAGAAATAGAAGAAGATCTTAGAAGATGGAAAAATATACCCTGTTCATGGATAGGCAGAACTAACATCATCAAAATGGCGATATTACCCAAAGTTCTCTATAGGTTTAATGCAATGCCAATCAAAATCCTAACGGCATTTCTTGTAGAAATAGAGAAAGCAATTATGAAATTCATATGGAAAAATAAAAGACCCAGAATAGCAAAACCAACTCTAAGCAGGAAGTGTGAATCAGGCGGTATAGCGATACCAGACCTCAAACCATACTACAGAGCAATAGTAACAAAAGCAGCATGGTACTGGTACCAAAACAGGTGGGTGGACCAATGGTACAGAATAGAGGACACAGAAACCAATCCACAAAACTACAACTATCTTATATTTGATAAAGGGGCTAAAAGCATGAAATGGAGGAAGGATAGCATCTTCAACAAATGGTGCTGGGAAAACTAGAAATCCATATGCAACAAAATGAAACTGAATCCCTTTCTCTCGCCATGCACAAAAGTTAACTCAAAATGGATCAAGGAGCTTGATATCAAATCAGAGACACGGCGTCTGATACAAGAAAAAGTTGGCTACGATCTACATACTGTGGGGTCGGGCTCCAAATTCCTCAATAGGACACCCATAGCACAAGAGTTAATAACTAGAATCAACAAATGGGACTTACTCAAACTAAAAAGTTTTTTCTCAGCAAAAGAAACAATAAGAGAGGTAAATAGGGAGCCTACATCCTGGGAACAAATCTTTACTCCTCACACTTCAGATAGAGCCCTAATATCCAGAGTATACAAAGAACTCAAAAAATTAGACAATAAGAAAACGAATAACCCAATCAACAAATGGGCCAAGGACCTGAACAGACACTTCTCAGAGGAGGACATACAATCAATCAATAAGTACATGAAAAAATGCTCACCATCTCTAGCAGTCAGAGAAATGCAAATTAAAACCACCCTAAGATACCATCTCACTCCAGTAAGATTGGCAGCCATTATGAAGTCAAACAACAACAAGTGCTGGCGAGGATGTGGGGAAAAGGGTACACTTGTACATTGCTGGTGGGACTGCAGATTGGTGCAGCCAATTTGGAAAGCAGTATGGAGATTTCTTGGAAAGCTGGGAATGGAACCACCATTTGACCCAGCTATTCCCCTTCTCGGTCTATTCCCTAAAGACCTAAAAAGAGCATGCTACAGGGACACTGCTACATCGATGTTCATAGCAGCACAATTCACAATAGCAAGACTGTGGAACCAACCTAGATGCCCTTCAATAGACGAATGGATA